GTTGGGGGGGGGGGGGGGGGGGGGGGGGGGGGGGGGGGTTCCTGGAATCATCGGATCCGATTCGATCGGACTCGATTCGATTCGATTCGAGGAAGCTGTCGGCTCGCGTTATCATCCATCCTCCGACCAGCCACGACTACGCAAAGTTTTACCGGGTACGAGTGATCCGTCCGAAAAGTTTGGACGATCCGTTTCCGGTCCGCTGGAAGATCAACACCGGACGTTCGAGATCGATTTCGAAAATGACACGGTCCTCGCGACGCTCTCCGTTCCTAAAGAGAAGGGAAAAATTGTTGGAACAAAGAGCAGTTCGAGCAGGCACAAATCGCGTCTGCATCGGAATTTTTGCAATTTTCTCGAGCAAAGTGCTCGCACAGAAGCTCTCTGGTGTCAACGAACCGCGCGGTCGATCGATCGCGAGAGATCGATCGCGTTTCGGATCGCGACGAGAGCACGGCGCAGCTTCGCGGCGCGGCGCGGCGTCTCGAATTCGTTTTGTTTGGCGCGAGAAGCCGGTGCGTTTGTGCAAACAATTTGACGCGAAGCTGTAGCGAGAGGTCGAGCGAGACCGTTCGATTTCTCGGCAAAGAAAATGGAATGTCGGCGGTGTTCCCGCCCGAGGCTGGCATCCTCGAGCCTCGCTTTGTGCTCGACGAGCTTGCTTTTTCTCTTTTCCACTCGCTCTCTCTCTCTCTCTCTCTCTCTCTCTCTCTCTCTCTTTCTCTTTGTCTCTCTCTCGCGCGCGCTCTTTTCCTCTCGTTCTCTGCCGAAGAGAGCGTTACTTCCGATTTCGAAGCAATAAGCTTGCAAGCTCCATTATGTCCCCGTTTCCCTCGGTGCACGCGGCTCGGCAAACATTTCGCGGCGCGCTACAATGCCGCCGCGCCGCGATTCTTCAACGCCACGGCGAACCTCTGCTCTACAAACTGAAATTAATGTCCTCTCACGTCCTCATCCGGCGACGAGCGATCGACCGTCGACGTTCGATCGGAAACTCGGCTCTCTCGGAAATCGAACGAGAGCCGAGAGCTGCGCCGAATATCTCGACACCTTTCCCCCAAAAATCCTGCGAAATATCGCGGAGAAGTAACAGAAATATTTAAAAAAAAAACGGTGTCATTTTTACGGAACTCATCGTCGGATTCATAGAACCTTTAATCCTTTTTCTATCGATTTTGAAATCCTATGCTCGCGTCGTCCTATGCTCGTTGCCGAAAGAAGTTACCAATACAGTAATGTCTCCCTAATTGTACACAGAAAAGGACAATTTTGGAAGAAGAAATGCAATTATTCGAGCCTTGCAATTCATTTTTATAGTTACGAAGTGCCAACAGCCATAAAAAACGAGCTAGAAGGCTCTAATAATAATGGTATTTTCTCTTCTCAAGTTGTCCATTTTTGTGGACAATCCGAGTGTCAATTAGAGAGACATTACTGTACAGTAATGTCTCCCTACCTGACGCTGTTAGTTAGGCTTGTTGTGGCTCGTTGTGGCTCGTTTTTTCTGGTTATCGATTGTCAATAATTATAGGAACGAACCGCAAGGCTCGAATAATCGTATCTCTTCTTCCCAGATTGTCCATTTTTCAGCACAATTTGAGCGTCAGTAAGGGAGACATTGCTGTAATATCGCAACAGAGATTGTGTCGCATTTAACCCTTTGCTTCTCAAAAACCTAATCGAACAAGCCCAAGCGTGTTTGGATAATGGGGCAGTTGCTTCGTTCCAGCGATAGATTTCATTTCCCTCGAATAAATAGAGTTAGGCGCGGCCTATTTGCATGTTAAACGTATTCGAACAATATGGAATTCCGTGGGTGGTTCCGCGTACTTTCAATTTGGCCGATTATTCGGCACCGTGGCCCGTCGCCGCGAGACGGAATAATCGCGGGTCGTTTATGTTTCTCGAATAGACCGAATTTGCATGTCCATTATAGCGACGGGTGGGGGGGGGGAGAAGGGCGAAGGGAAAGGCGAACGGGGGAGCCGATATTAAAACGAGAAGAATGGCTCGGGGGCCGTTTCTCTCGCGGGCAAATTAAACTATAGCGTTCGCGGTCACGATCGACGACGTGGAGAAATTCACCGATTTCCTCGACGTCGTCCGTTCTTCTTCGTCGCGATCCAGGAGCGTGTCTCGACGTGTCCCGACGTCCTGGGACGTCCGTCTTATTCGATTCGAAGACCGCTCGCCGCGATATTATTACTAGACCACGAATCCCCGGGAAAAATTCTCTGCGAGAATTCGCCTGAGAATTCTTCGATTATTTTAATGTATCTTTCAACCCGCGTCCGATTCGATTAACGGAGCTGCTCTCATTTCAGGTGAACTGTGTCGTCCTCTGAACTGCAAGAAGAAGGAGCTGTGTCTGCTGGAAGACACGTTTACGGCTGTCTGCGTGTCGAAGAAGGAACTGCACAAATCCGGGTGAGATTTTACATTTTTCATAGAGAACAATCGGTGTAGCATTAGATCGTTCGATCGTCCTTGAAACGCTAATAATTCCTGTTCCATCGCGCTTCAAGCTTTAGCAGTTTACTAAAAACAGAAGAAATTTTAGCAGCGCACAAATCGTTCGAAATTACAGTAAATTCGATCGTCGGTGCTCGATAATCGCCATTCGACTGCAAAAAGTGTTAATCCCGCGACCAAAGTCAGAGATCGTCGATCTCCAAGCGTACTTTATCGACAGTAGTCTGCCTGGAATCCATCTTGGAACCGTGTGCGAGCGATGTCGAACGATCTCCGCGGGAAATTAACGCGAGCTCCCGACTCGCGCCTGGAAATATTCGTCCGGTGACAGCGGGAATTTGATAGAAGAATCACTTTGCTCGAGCCCTCTGGCAAGTTGAGCCCGCTAATTCAATGAATTTATAGAAAGAGAATCCAGCCTTTAGAAATCCGGGAGCATTTGGACCGAGCATGGATCCCTGGATCACGGGGCCATAGATTAAAACGGCGCGGCGGAACTATTGAATCCGGGAGAAAACACGAGGCTTTCGCAGACACTCGACACGCCGCGCCACGCCGGTTATCAGTTCCGCGATAATCCCGCAATCTTCCAGCGAATTGTAACTCGAATGAGAAATTTTTCTCTTTCTCGTTCTCTCTCGTCGATCGTAATTCCAGCCGCGAAACGCACGATAATCCCGCGCGCGCGCGCGCTACCTTTGCTCAGCTGATATCCAGGCCAGAATTTCTCGCGAAATTATCGTTCCGTCGAGATACGATGATCTCGATCGTGTTTTAATCCGGATCCGCGCGGCCACGCCCGTTTCCACTTGAAAGAATTTCGCCAGCACGCCGCGGCAGATCGCGACCGGAAACACCGGATCGCTGTAATCCCGCGAAACTCGAGCCCCGACGCCTCCTCTCGAGCCTTCCGCGGTTTCATTTTCCTTCTGGTGTAGAATTTCTCCCAGAGAAAATGTTGAACCACCTCGCGCAACCTTATACCCCGAGTCCTACCACTCTCCCGTTCGATGCCGGCCCATTAAATTTGATTTCGAGAAGGCTAAATAAGATACAGTAATGTCTCCCTAATTGACGCTCGGATTATGCACAAAAATGGACAATTTGGGAAAAGAAAATGCGATTATTCTAATAAGAGAGAGAGAGAGAGAGAGAGAGAACGAGAGAGCGAGAAGGCTCTAGCCTTCTTCCCAAATTGTTCATTTCTGTCGACAATCCGAGCGTCAATTAGGAAGACATTACTGTACTAGTTTTCGGGCGGAGTCCTATACCTGTCATACATCTTGGGCGACTTTACACCCGCGTCTCTTGCCTCTTGGCCAGTTCAAGGCTATAACTTTAACGACGGTAAAGTAACTCGAAAGGTTTCTACACGATGCTAATCGCTTGGGAATAACTTTATATTCGCCGTTGCCGCCTTTCGATATCGTTGCAAGGCTGTGGAATTTCTCAGAGTCCGATTACTCGTTGATACGCGCTACTGCGGCGACATTGAATCGGCTCGTACTACTTGTTATCGGGTGGCAACTTGCTCGGCGTTTTTCTATACCGTTCTAATCCCTCTCGGTCGACTTCTCGCATCGATACTTATTACTTTCTGGTTCGATGGCAAGGTTGCGGAATTTTTTTAGTCCGTCCCCTATACTTTCACTCGTACCACTGGCCAAGTCTACTTTGAAATCAATTGAAAGATTTTGCATCGCAAGTTGATCCTTCTCGGACAACTTCGCGTCAATTTTTATTACCTTCCGGTACGATTTGAAGGTTGTAGAATTTTTCTAATCTCGTAAAACGTCGACACTTGCCACCGAGTCGAATCATTTAATAGTTTCCGTAGGATGCGTTGCTACTTTCCGGTTCAATTCGGAAGCTTTACAAATTCTAAGAGGCTGATTACGCAACGTTCCGCTATTAAATCGTTTCGACCCACTTATTTCGCCGTTTCGCGAACGTTCCTCCAATGTCCGACCATACGCAGGTCCATTCTCCTTGCCAGAGACCCCGCTCTGCAAAGCCGCGGCAGCATCGCGTCGAGCCGGCAGTTTGAATTACAAAGCGAGACTTGGCAATTCGCAGATTACGTCCGACTACACTCGGGGCCATTCCACTTTGACAGGATTATGTCAGTTTGTACTACTTAAGAGACCCACAGCCGGCGAAATGTCTTGCGGAAACGGGGTTACGTCGAATTCATAACATAATTTGCGAAGGTCCGACCGCGCGCACACGGCCCTCCGATCGTTACCTCGAACGTTATGTCCCTCGCAACGGTCCGAGACGCTTGTAATCTCGATCTGCTCGTTGCACCCTCGTCTCTCTTTATCGGCGGAAAGCCGAAGCTTCCTCTCGAACGCCTCGAAGGCTGCGAGCTCGAAAACGAGCTCGATTCTCGAGCGCGAAAAAATTGAACCGAAGCGCGATTGCTTTCGGAAAAAAAGCAGAATTCTGTAAATAGGACTGTTGCACGCTGCGCAAACGAGACGCGTATCAGACGAGGCCAGCCGGTCGTATTCGTCGCTTCGGACGGTTCCGGACGAACGCTCGGTGTTTCGCGAACGAGATCGAGATACGACTGGTTCAATTGTCTCGCGAAATGTCGCCCAGTCTTCCCGTGAAAATGTCGGGACATTCTCCAGGCTCGTTCGCCGACTCGCTTTTAACTTATTCCATTTCCGAGCAACGTGTGTCGGCGCGACGCGGCGTCTTGACACGAGAGATCTGGTGAAGTTTTGAAATTCGAGGTCTCCCGGGCTCCACGGGGACCATCGGAGCTTTTCCAGCTTCTCCGCTGCGGAATCGTCGTTGTCGAGCGGATCGAACATTTTCTCTGCGGAATTAATCCCGCGATTTTAGGAATCGAGCCGGAAGAATTGGCGTCCGAAAAATATTTCGCTTTCTATCGGGAAAAATTGCTCCGCGTGAACCGTTCGAATGCTTCCGTGGAAATGTCGGTGATCCGGCCGCGGAGAACTCGTCGCGACCGGTTCTCTACACTCGTCGATCTGATTTTTCCAGGGACATCGTGATCCCGAAGTCACGGATGACCCAGCAGAGCCGACGAATGCGGACCGAAACTTCGGTCGACTCCGAGGACGACGACGCTTTCTTCGATTCCGAGGACGACGACGAGGATCAGGACGAGTCCAAGTAAGTGTCCCTTTCATCCGGCGGGCTGCTCTCATCGGCTCGAATAATAATATTGACTCGAGAACGCCCCGTGGGAAATCGACGAATAGACGAACTCGCGATATTTGCTTCTTCGCTGATTTTCTCGTGCGATCCGCGTCCCGAGAACGAGCCTCGTTAGTTCGAGGAATATTTCTACGGAGTTAGCGCTTCTAGACCGGGATAAATATACTCCAGTTATCGCGTTCACGTGTTTTCCCGAATGCACCGAATCCGTGGCGCAGCGATTAAACTCGAAAGTAGACCGTCTCGAGTAGAAGCAGCCCGCGTAATCTCTGGCACCGTGTAATCGGCAAAGAACGCCTTGTGTCCCCGACGATATTAATCCGAACGAAGATCTCGGGGCGATAAAAACTAGCAGAATCTGGGACAAGTAGAACAGACTCTGTCTGCTCGGACAATGCGGTTTTCTACGAGCTCGCGTTAGACCGTGCAGCGGTGCGAATAAATACAATCTCGGCCGAGTAGAATCAGCAAACGGTGTTTCCTTTTCTCGAAAAGATGGACAACAATGGAATTTTCGAGGCATGTCGAGCTAGCAAAGAGCTCTCTTAATACGTACGTTTTGCACATATCGAATGCCGTTTCGAATGATCAATTATCGCGTATGGTTACGGAGATATATGTAGATCGCGTCGAAGTAGACGAATTCTCGTTCCACGCGATACCTTAACCCTTCGACAGAATTATTTGTTCGAGAATCAATTTGTACGAATTTGTATCGTCAAAACGATAGGGTCTAACGTCCCGTTTCGAGTTTTGCATTTTGGGGGAAGCGTGAACGAGTGCACGTACGAGTTCCGCGGCGAATTTTTTGGGCGAAGGAGACACCGCGCGTCGTCGACAGCCGTCGGTCGTCGACGGGCCCCGCAATTAGACTGTTTCACGTTCGACGGCGGCCCTTGCGACAACATTCAGGAGAATTTTCAAAGGACCACACGCTTGGGACGGAAGAGTGTGCAACGGGAGGGAAACAAGCGAAGGAGAAAGAGCAGAGCGGAGCGGAGCCGGGCGGATGGAAAACCCTCTTTGCTCTGCTCGCTCGTGCAAATTTAAGTAGGAAGAAATGTTTCGCCGGCAACGCTTCCCCTCTCGCTCCTCCTCTCGCTCGTCTTCCGTCTGAGCTGGTTTCCCCGTGGAATTTTCTCCAGCCGACGACCAGAAGCTCCCGACTCGACTCCCTGTGCCCTTGCCGGTGCGAGCAACTGCTGTTTGACGGAGCGCCGCGCTAAAGTAAACGCGCGGCCCCCTTCGGCCTAACCCGCTTTTCCCCGCGGAATCCTACGAAATTCATTTTTTAGATCTCCGACTTATCGTCTCCGTGATCCGCGGCCGCGGATTTGTTCAGCCTCTGGCCGGTCGGCAGTCGCGCCGATAATATTCGGTTCCGGGACGAGTCGAAACGGCGGATCGAATCTCGACGGATCGCGTTTTGTCGCGCGATATTTCCAAGGGTTTTGTGATCGCGAGATCGCGACGCGAGGTATGCATCCGCGGAAACGTGACCCATAAAGCCGATCTTTTATTCGATCTCCCCCGGGGGGAGCAACCGTTCGACAGCCAGAGAACGGCGAAACCAATAATTCCAGGTTAATGTCTCGTGAAAAACAAAACATAGGTACTGGGATCCACTTTCCCCAGTGGCACCACCCAGGCTCTCTCTCTCTCTCTCTCTCTCTCTCTCTCTCTCTTCGATATTTCCCTGTTATTTCCGAGACGCTGTTCCCGCCGCTATACAGCTCACAAACGAGAAGTAATATGATAATCCGCCATTCCTCTTCCGATAAAGCGTCCCCAGCCGTTCGAACACGCGGAAACCATTCCGCCCGCGTTCTCTCCGGATTCGCCGCTCTGGACCTGGCAAAATATTTAAACCGATTTCTCTCGGCTCCGATCTCTCTCCCAAGCTGAAATCGACCGTGAAGACGCGCTGTGTGTTCCCACTTTTCGCGAGAAATGACGCCAACTTGTTCCGCGGGACGATCAGTTTTTGTCACGAAGATGTGAAAAATATATCGGATCGTTCTTTCGAGTATTTAAGATCCGACGCGTAATCTAGTCCCGTTGGTCGAACGACGAGATATTCTTCGGAGATATGAAATACTTTCGTTCGACCGCAGAGTTCAATTTCAGCAGTCTAATTCCGCCGCGCTCGTCGACGTTCTTCGGCATTTAGACCGCGTCTCCTCACTTCCTCTCGACAACCTCGTGCTCTCGAATGGGTTCCACTTGGCAATTTAATTACCGAACACTGCGAGTTCCATAAAAGGAACCTACGACGTCGCGGAGGACATCCTAACGTGCACACGGGATTACGGCCGCTGTCGGCGAGGAATCCAAACTTGTTTCGCATCGGCATTCGCCGGGAAAAAGCGTGCAGGAATTTACGATTCGGCGTGCGGAAACGACGCGCGACGGCTCGGAAACGGAAAACGAAATTTCGATGGTACCCGCGATAAAGAGAAAAATTTGTCCCGTTAACCTAAATTCCCGGGATTCGTAGCTTTGGACACCCCCGAGGGTGTCTTCGGTATGCTGGGAGAATCTCGCGAGATTCGCGAATCCTTCGTGAAACGCCGCGTTCGCTTTTTCCTGTTTAGCGGATCAACGGCCGGGAAGAACTGCTCCGGGGGCTGATCTTACAATTTTATCGGGACATTATTTTCGCGGGAATTGGATTGTTCGACGAGCGGTCGTCGCGACGAGACGCGACGCGAGAGCTTTATTACACTGTCCCCGAAGTTTCAGGGGAGAGCTCGTGCTAGCTAGCAAGGCCCCCTTTCCCGGCGAAATCTCGTTACTTCGGCTCAAGATTGCCTTCAATAATTAAGATGACGCCGGGGCCGGGTCATCGATTAATTAATTACTTAGAGAAATGGAGTTTGAGGCGCGAGGATGCAATACGGTGGAACGGCTTCGTTTCTTATGCATAGATAACGAACTTCGCCGTTAATGAAACCTTTGTACCGACGAAATCCGGCCGCGTTCTCTTCCGCCAGCTAATTTCGAGCCGCGATCTTTTCGCGTAAAACTTCTCCGAGAGATTCTTATTTCGATGAAAATTCATCCGTCCCCGGCAAATTGCAAACAATTTTTATTTTACACCGGTTTCCGCGGACGATGCTGTCCGACCAGTTTCCAATAAACGATGCAGTATGCCGCATATATGCGGCGCTCGGCGCGAAAGGGTTAAAGAACCAGAATAGAATTCACGCTTTTAACGGGTTGTCACTGGATAGTTCAATCGCGCGAGCGAGAATCGTTAAAATACGTCCGAAAGGTTTAATAGTCTTCGGTGCAACGTGTTCGAGAACGGAAAAATTGGCGAAACGTGCTGCAATTTATTTATGTAAACGAAAGAGAGCCGTCGTTTTCCGTGGCATCGGCGCGAGCGGGTCGTGACCGAGAGAGGATGGAGCACGAAAATATTTCAAGAAGGGAGACTGCTTGAAGAAATTGCGGTTCTCCGGGCGAGGAACCGAGGAACCGGGAAAAGAGTATCAGTCTGGCGGGGATCTCCAGTCGATAACCAGCGAGATAATGCGATGATGGACGAGCTCGCAGACTCCGATGAGCATTTTGTCGCCGCTTCGACTTTTTTGCCAGCGGAAAGTGGGAAACGCTCCTTTCTTTCCACTCGTTCCTCCTCTTTATTGCCGAGTAAGCTCCGCGCGCACTCTCTATTTTTCCCGGTCCTCTCTCTCTCTCTCTCTCTCTCTCTCTCTCTCTCTCTCTCT